TGGACTTGATGATCTCAGAGGTCCCTTCCAACCCAGCTGATTCTGTGATTCTATGATTCTGTGATTCTATGGTTCTATGATTCTATCCATCTCGGTGCTTTTTAGAGCAATGAGTGTCCTCCCAACCCCCCCAGACAATCCCAACTCACTCCAAGAGGAAACATTAATATTTAAGGAAGACAAATTGCTCCAGGTCCAACCTCATCCATCACCGTGGGCTCCCTCCCCAGCCTCATCTCTCCTGCTGGTTGAGCTCCACGCTCCGCTGCAGACACCAATCTCCCTGTCTAATCCCATTAAGCATTCCCAGTAGGATTCCTGGGAGTGGTCTCCACCCCTGTGGAGCATCATCTCCCTTTTTCTGAGGCAAACTCCAGCCATTTCCAAGCACCTCCTGGCTCCGGAAGGTCCCCACACCCGGGCCACGCTCAGCCACACTGCCCAGATGCCAGTGAAGGGGACTTTTTTGGTAACAAACCTGGATGAGAAGATGGATAAAAGCCCTTCCAATCCCTCTGCACAGGAGGTAACACTTTATTTAGCAGTTTATTCCAGAGATAACAGAGCTAAGGAAGCCCCTTCTCCCCAACAACACCAGGAAAAGCCATTTCCATTTCCCTTTCCATCCACAGCAAATCCTCAGCTCCACCCTGCTCCCAGACCTTCCTATTGGGATTGGGATGGCCAAAGACAGGAGCACAACTTTGGGGCTGTAACACCTCCTAAAACAGCTCTGGAGGGCTGGAACAACCTTCCAGAAGAGGAATCACAGGGAACAAACAAGCAGGATGAAGGAAACCACCGCTGGGGACTGTTAAATCTTCTCTTCCTGTTTATACCCAAGCTCATGAAAGATGCCCAGTGTGCCCAGTGTGGGCACAATCCTGGGCACCCAGGAACAACAAATAAATCACAGGCCCAGTAAAAAAGATCTGAAATTTGCTTTTAGAACAACTAAAAGCAGAGTTCAGTGGATTTGCTGTTCCAAAATACCTGCTGATCCCAGATCCTCCTCCGGGTATACCCAGACAGCTCAGAACAAATCTTATTTAAAGAGGGGGAAAAAAAAGCTTTTTGAGCAAAAATGAGACTCCCTGATGATTCTGTTTTTCCTACCCAACGAGACACTACTCAGCCAAGTGCAAAAAGCAACACAAACCACATTTTTGATGGCAACAACAGCATAAACACACGGGGGTATTTTAGACAGCGGAGAGAAGAAAGAAACACAGGCTGCCTTCCAACGGAGCAGGATTTTGATGGAAGGCACCAGTGGCTTGACAAACACTTGGAAATGTATCTGTAGTTCAAATGAGACACTCAGAGAGTGGATATCTTGAAAAAAAGAAATGCTGGATGGCCATCAAGCTGAACGTTAAAATAGCCAAAATCACAGAATGTGCTGAGCTGGAAAGGGCCCCCAGGGATCATCGAGTCCTGCACAGGCCCAGCCCCA